ACATTGTTTTCATTAACAATGAGCATGTAGAAATTGAAAGTAAGAGGACAATCTCATTTACAATTGCTTTAAAAAAATATTTAAATATTTAGGTGTAAAATTAATAAATAATGTACAGAATATATATGCTGCAATGTGGAAAAGGCTGATAAAAGAAATCAAAGACTTAAATGAAGGCATACCATGTTTAGGGATTGGAAGACTCAATTTAGCAAAGCTATCAATTTTCTCTCATTTGATTCATATTAATATAATTGCTGTTAGCATCCCAACAAAGTTTTTAAAAACAGACACAGACAAAGCTGATTTCTAAAATTTATCAGAAAAAAAAGGCACAGCCCTGAAATAAGTAAAGTGATCTTGAAAAGACAAAATAGGAGAAATCACCCTATCTGATATTAAAATTGAATTATGTAATAATCAACATAATGTGATAGTAGCACAAGGATGAACATACAGATCAATGGAACAGAAAAGAGAACTCAGAAACAGACCTACATAAATATGCCCACCTGGTTTCTGACAAACGCATGAAACTACTCAATAGAAGGATGGCCTTTTCAACAAATGGTACCTGAGCACCCGAATATTCACAGGCAGAAAAAATGAACTTTGGTCTAAATCTCATACCTTACACAAAAATTAACTCAATGTAGATCACACACTAAAATGTAAAATGTGAAACTACAAAACTTTTAGAAAAAAGTAAGGAAAAAATCTTTGAGATTCAGAGCTATGCAGAATTCTTAGACTTGATGTCAAAAGCATGATCTATAAAAGAAAAATATTGGTAAACTAGACCTCATTGAAAGCAAAAATTTTGCTCTACAAAGGTGCCTGTTAAAAAAATAAAATGCCAGCCCACAGACTGCAAGAAAATATGTATAATTCATCATCTATAACAAAGGACTAGTATTTAGAATATAAAAAAATTCCCTAAACTCAACAATAAAAAAACATACAACCTAATAAGAAAATGGACAAAAACAGGGAAACACTTTCCCAAAGAAAATAAATGAATGGCAAATAAGCACATGAAAAGATGTTTATCATCATTAACCATTAGAGAAATGCAAATTAAAACTGTAAGAATCTGGAGGCTAAAGCAAGAGGATCATGAGTTCAATAACCAGCCTCAGCAACAGTGAGGTGCTAAGCAACTCAATGAGACCCTGTCTCTAAATAAAAATACAAAATAGGGATTATGCTCAGCCATAGAAAGCTTGCCTAGCACACGCAGGGCCCTGGGTTCGATCCTCAGCACCACATAAAAATAAATGAATGGAATAAAGGTATTGTGTCCAACTACAACTAAAAAAAAAATATTAAAAAAAATACAAAATAGGGCTAGGAATGTGGCTCAGTGGTTGAATGCCCCTCAGTTTAATCCCTGGTACCAAAACAAAACAAAAAGCCCCCCAAACTACAAGAAGATGTCATTATACACCTATCAAAATAACTGAAATAAAAAACAGTGACACCAAATGCTGGCAAAATGCAGAGAAACTGGCTTTCTTATACATTGATAATGGCAATGTAAAACAGCACATCATTTGGGAAATAAACTGGCAGTTTCTTATGAAACTAAATGTGCAACTACCATATGAGCCAGTAATTGTATGCATGGGAATTTATCTCAGATATATGAAAAATTATGTAGATATAAATGTATGTACATGAATGTTTAAAGGAGATTTATTTGTAATAGAAACTGGAAACAACCCAAACATCCTTCAATAGGAGAAGAGTTAAATGGTGGACTACTCAGCAATAAAACGGCAAGATGGGCTGGGGTTGTAGCTCAATGGTAGAGTGTTCACCTAGCATGTGTGAGGCACTGGGTTTGATCCTCAGCACCACATTAAAAAAAAATGAAGGGCTGGAGATGTGGCTCAAGCGGTAGCGCGCTCGCCTGGCATGCGTGCGGCCCGGGTTCGATCCTCAGCACCACATACAGACAAAGATGTTGTGCCCGCCGATAACTAAAAAAAAAACATTAATAAATAAATATTTTAAAAAAAATGAAATAAAGATACTGTGTCCACCTACAACTAAAAAATAAATATTAAACAAAGGCAAGAACTATAGATACACGCAACTACTTGCACTGAATCTCCAAGGAATTATGCTAAGAGATAAGAGCTGATTTTAAAAGATCACGTTCTGCAAGATTCCATTCATACAACATTCTTCCAATGACAAAATTATAGAATTGAAGAATATATCAGTCACTGATAGGGTCTGGGAGGGGAGCATAAAAAAAAGAGATTGCAAAAGGGCAACTAGAGAGCCTTTTAGTGATGGAACTGGTCTGGGTCCTGCCTGTATCATTGCCAATATTCTGGTTGTAGTGTTGTAGTACAGTTTTACAACATATTACCATTGAGCAAAAGTGGGTAGAGGGTATATGGGATCTCTGTGTTATTCTTACAACTGCACACGACTCTGATTATTGCAAAATTAAAAGTTTGATTAAAAAAGACCAGATTTGGTTTCCAGCTCTGCCATCTGCTAATTAGATAGCCGACCTTGAGATTTTAAAACTCTATCTTCAATTTCCTTATTGGCTAAATGGGACAATACCATTTGAAAGTGTTATGAAAATTAAATGCCATACAGAAAGGGTCTGGCACAATATGCATAGCACAGATTGCTTTAAAAATAGCCTCTATATAAATATTATTCTGAACAGTATCATTCAAATGTCCACAATTGAAGCTACTACAAAGCCATTTATTTAAAAAGTCTCTTTCTGAAGTTATTTTGTCCAAATAAAAATGGGAATGGGGGAGAGGAAAAGTTTTTTGTTGTTTCAAATTAAAAGATGAATTTCTAACTAGCTTTTAAAATCCTCACAATGGATAAAATGAGTTTAATACAGAACTACAATTAGTCAAAAACAAATTGGGGCCAGGCACGGTGGCACACACCTATAATTCCAGTGGCTTGGGAAAGTGAGGCAGGAGGATTGCGAGTTCAGCAAAAATGAGGCACCAAGCAATTCAGTGAGACCCTGTCTCTAAATAAAAGACAAAATAGGGCTGGGGATGTGGCTCAGTGGTTGAGTGCCCCTGAATTCAATCTCCAGTATTGCCACCCCCCCCCCCCGACAGAAAAAGAAAATTGGGAAAGAAAATTTAATATTATTTAACAAATCTTATTTCTCTTGATAAGGAAGCCAGTAAAAGTTAACATTTATATGCATTGGGAAAAGGTTAAGACTGAGTTTTGTAAAATATGCTTCGGGTACCAAGTTGGATTTGAGCCCTCTGTTTCTGAATATTTTTCCTGCATCCTGAACTGAAAGAAACCAGGAGACAGTGAACCAGCCAAATTTGCCTGTTCCGAGGTCTAGGAAAGCAGCAAAAATTAAACTAGCCTTTTGAAGAGAAGTTAAGAGAGCAGGTTTTGAGAGATACTCAAGTGCACTTTACCCCAGAAGATGAGGAGATTTTTGAAGCACACAATTGATCTCTAGTGAGCTGCACTGGGCACCTCCTCTTTAAAGTTCATCCAGTGTTTGGCCAGAGCCCTGACTGGACGGGCTTTTGAAAAGGCAAGGGATGTTTTATCATTCAAATTATTTTCTTCCCATCACAATCCCAAATGACCTATTTGTGTTGAAATGAGATATTTTAGTAACAAAAATGTAAAGTGGGAATACCGGCCTGGAATTCTGGGGCTCAGGATCCTGGCACCATGGCCAGAGGGGAGCTTCCAGGGTGAAGTGAAAGAGATGTCCCAGATTCGATTCTCCTGCCCTTTGCTAAATTTAAAATCCCTCAGGCACCATAAAATTGAGTCTTCAGGCAGGTTTTCTGGTAGATAAATGTCTCTCCACGTCTGCTTGGAGACAACTGTTCCTCAGACCTGTAACTTGGCTTCTCCAAAATGGACTTGGGAAAAGTTGAGGAGTGGGGCATGAAAAGTGTATAGATAAGAAACTCAAAAAGGAAATGACCCAATCTAAGTGCAGGATTGACTCTCTCCTCTCCCCTTCTCATCAGTTTTCTCCAGATTTCCTTTCTCTGGGGCCTTTTACACAAGCTCACAGTAGTGAGACACTGGAAAGTGGACAGTCAACTCTACCGTTCCTTCTGCAAACACAGCAAAGATATAAAGGGAGCAAGACACAATGTAAGGATTTTATTTGTATCCTGGTCAAACAAATAAAACTTATAATGAAACAATGGAAGAAATATGGACACTGACTGGATATCTGGCAACATTAAGGAGTTACTACTTTTAGTAATAACCTTTTTCATTAATGGTAATGTGTTTTTTTTGTTGTTGTTGTTTTGTTTTGTTTTAAACAAGGCCTTTATCTTTAGCGATCTTATGTTTTCTAAGGCCACTGTACAACGTTTGGAATTTGCTTGGAGATCATGGGAGCATAGGTGAACCGGGCTGGCCTGGACATGATCGCTGTTGAAGCTGAGAGGTGTACATTACAGTTCTTTCTACTATCTTCGCTACTTTTGTATATGCTTTAAATTTTCCTACTATAAAGTTAAAACTTAAGATTGGTGACTGGTTCTCCTCCAGACTTCACTGCTCTTCAGGGCTTGCTGCTGGCTGGGCAGGGCAAATTCAGCTCCCTCACCCGGCCCAGCTGCAGGGGAAACTCCGGACTCCATCCTGCCAGGGTGTGTCCAGGGGGGCTTTCTCCATCACCAAGCACCCCTCCGCCCCCAAGTCGCCAGAAGTTGGCCAGCTTCTACTCTTAACGTCCCCAAACACCGGAGAAGGGGCAAAGCCACCAGGCCGACGGGGACTAGGGGGTGTGCAGGAGAGCCCCAGGTGACCCAGGCTAGTGGCCCTCTCGACTCCGCGCAGGGGTACCTGGTCGCGGGAGCAGTGGACAACGCTGCGAGCCAGGCGGCGCCGCAGAGCGGGGGACAAAACGCGCGGCCGTGGCCCCAGCTTGCGCGCGCCTGGCCGCCGCTACCAGCGCCCACCTGGACACAGGTGTGCGGGCGGGGCAGGGCGGGCCCGCTCACCTTGAGGATGTTGTCGAAGATGGTGTCGCGGAACTCCAGCAGAGCCTTCTGGTCGAATTCGCGGCCGTGAATGATGCGCATCTGCTTGAGAAACGTGGACTTGCCGCTCTCGCCGGCGCCCAGCAGCAGGATCTTGACCAGGCGCCGCACGGCGCGCCGCTCGCGGGCCAGCAGCGCGTCGATGTCGCGGCTGCGCCTCCGGGCCTCGCGCTCCGCATCGCGCG